TAAAGAACCTCTTGTAAGGCTAGTGTAATGGTAACAAATTCTCTCAGCATTTGCTTTCCAGGAAAGGATTTTATTACTTCTTTGTTTATGAAGCTTAGTTTGGCAGGATATTAAATTACTGGTTGGAATTTATTTTCTTTAAGGATGCTGAAAATAGGCTCCCAAGATTTTAAGGATTGTAAGGTTTCTGCTGATAGGTCTACTGTTAGCCTAATAGAGTTCCCTTTGTAAGTGACCTGACCCTTTCCTCTAACTCTTGTTAAGGCTTTTTCTTTCATATTGACCTTGGAGAATCTGATAACTGTGTCTTGGTGATCATTGTCCTGCATAGTACCTCACAAAGGTACTCTAAATTTCTTGAATTGGCATGTTGACCATGCTAATGTGATTGAGGATATTTTTGTGTGGATTATATTCCCAACAACTTTTCCAATTTTTTTTTTTGAGATGGAGTCTCGCTGTTGAACTCCAGCTGAACCCCAGGAGTTCAATGGCACAACCTTAGCTCGCTGCAACCTCCACCTCCCAGGTTCAAGCAATTATGCTGCCTCAGCCTCCTGAGTAGTTGGGACTACAGGCAAGCACCACCACACCTGGCTAATTACATATTTTTAGCAGAGATGGGGTTTCTACATGTTGGTCAGTCTGGTCTTGAACTCCCAACCTCCGGTGATCAGCCGGCCTCAGCCTCCCAAAGTGCTGGGATTACAGGCATGAGCCACTGCACCCAGTCTCTTTTAACTCTTTTTGATTACATGAATCTTCCAATTTCCCCCAACCACCAGTGAATTGTTTCTATTTTTTTTTTTTAAGAGAATGACAGAAACTCCACCCTGTTCCAGTGCAAGAGTACAGGGATTCCCTGGAAAGACTCTGGCTTGGAGCCCTCAGACCAGAGTTTAGGTCCAGGGGTCCACTTGGTGACTCAGGAAAAACCCTGGACCCCACCTCAAGGGATCGTGGATCCCCCTGGTGGGGGTCTCAGAAGCAGGAGGCTGCTGGGCCACGTCAGGCACAAGGCTTTCTCCAGCATGCCCATGCAAGGCTCCTCAATAAAAAGAAATCATGTTGCCTGTTCTGCAGCAGGCACGCCATCCTCAGGCCCCTAAGACCTTCAGGGGACATTTCCGCTCTGCCATCTGTGTGAACACACTCTACCTCCTAGCCTCTGCCATGTCACAGATGAGTGAGGCTTCAGATGAGTGACCTCCCCAGGGTAACGTGGGCCTGTGCTTGGGTCTCAGCCTCTTCTATGACCCTTGGGTGGCTCTCAGCATGGGAGGCTGCTTCCTAGGCCTCTATTTGCTGTTCTGTGAATGGGACAGGTAACAGACCTCTAGGGCAGGCATGAAATGCCAAGCGCCTGCCACAGGGCCTGGCCACAAACTCTCAGGAAATTCAGGTCATTCTCTGGGAGTGGCCACAGATGCTTCTCAGAACCCCAACCTCTGGCACTACTCCAGCCCATGCAGTCTGGGCAGGACCCTTCATCATCCAGGTGTCCCAGGCCCACAAGTATCTGACACCTCAGATGGTACTTGTGGCCCACTGTGTGACCCCAGACATACCTCCATGTTCTCTGGGCTGGGTCTCTCAGCCGCCACAGCTCTGCAGAGCCCAGGCTATGGGCTCCAGCCCCTAAGCTCCAGCTTGACTTGCTAAATCTTGCTAATGTAATCTCCAGGGCTAATTTTAATCCTGGACAGGAATTGGACACATTCCCATGGCTAGGATGGGTCCCTGGAGGCTGGAGGTGACACCATCCCACACGACCCAGTGCCAAGGTCATCCCCCAAATGACCCCTATGCCTGTGGTCTCATGACAGCAGGGACCGGGCTGAGCTTGGGCCTGAGTCTCTTGAGCATAGAAGGCTCAACTAAGCCCCTTCTCAGTCTGTCTCAATTTTAGTTACAGAGATACTATGGCTAGTGCAGGGGTCACGTGACAGGGGAACCCCCCCCCCCCAAGAGGCAGGAAGTTGGGGGGCCTTTCTGGGCTGAGATCCTAGAGCTGAGACAGGAAGTGAATTCCATGCACAAGGAATAGCAGGTACAAGGATCCCAAGGGGGAGAGAAACAGCAGTGAGGTTGCAGTGGGTGGGGAGGGTGAGAGGCCACAGAGGCTGGGCCACACTGGGCCTTCTGAGATGCAGGAGGCTCTGGGATTTAGTCTAAGAGCAAAGATGAGTTATGAGAGGGTTTTGAGGAGAGAAGGGATGGGGTTGATTTATCATTTTAACATGCAGCTCATGGCTACCATGGAAAGCGGGACTATCAGGGCCGGGGTGTAGATGGCAGGAGGCTGGAGATGAGGTCAGGGCTGTGTCCATCTGAGCAGAGCTGGGGTGGTACCCTCTGTGTGCTGGTCTGTACCTCACACTGTAAGTCACTGGGTCTCACAGCTTATTTGACCCTCCAGAACATCAGGAGGTGCCCCACCAACTCTGGTGCGACGTGACAAGTGCAGATGAGCTGATGCAGGGCTTAACTCTCCTGACCCCCCATGACACTGCAACTCTCCTGATTCCATCACCAAAGAACCAAACTGTCCCTGACTCTGCCCCTGAGAGATCAAGCTCTAATCATGGCCTCCCTTGCTGACACATTCTCCATGGTTCCACATTGGCCTTGTGAGAAAATTTCTGCACCCAACCTGACATTCAAACACCTTGCCCTAATCAGCTCCTGCCTACTTCTCTCTATCTTTGATAAATATTTCTGTCTAGACAGTCCTTTTTTCCCTTCCCCACCTAGCCAACTCCTAGTGACACTTCAGAACTCAGCTCAGGTCAGATGAGGAGGTTCATGCCTGTAATTCCAGCACTCTGAGAGGCCAAGACAGGAGGACTGCTTGAACCCAGGAGTTTGAGGCCAGTCTGAACAACATGGTGTAACCCCATCTCTACAAAAAATATAAAAATTAGCTGTGTGTGGTGGCATGTGCCTGTAGTTCCACCCTGAAGCAGGAGGATCAATTGAGCATGGAAGGTCAAGGCTGCAGTGAACAGTGATTGTGCCACTGCACTTCAGACTGAGCTACAGAGAAAAAAAAAAAAAAAAAACTCAGCTCAAAAAAAAAACATTCCTCCAAGAAGCCCTCCCTGTCATTCCTCTGGAATCCCACAGTCCCCATTCTTCCCCTGTAGTTCTGACCCAGTGGGGGCAGTATATACATCCAGCTTTGTCTCCCCTAGACTAGACAGCCCTCTAGGTCAGGCCTAGGAGTGAACAGTAAAATTTAGAGAGTGTAACAGGTAAAGAGAGATGTGACTGACTCCCTCCTCTTCAGCTTCCCTTGACAGCTTCCTCTCAGACTGCCCCAGCTGATATCCTGCCCAGAAATACACATGCTTGCAAATCCAGCCACTCACCATTGACCTGTCTTGGACTCAGGTGTGAAAAACCAGTCAAGGAATGCAGACCTGGAAGCCCAGGGTGTGTGTGTGTATTTTAGTCAGGTGAAAAATCCCACCCAAGCTCCAGACAGACCCTGGCGGCCCATTCTACACATGTTGGTGAGGTTGGCATTTCTGGGGAGGTGTCAGCAAAGGTTGAATGTGCCAGGCATGAGGCAAAGGCCAAGGTTTAGGGAGGCATTTTCTACACACACACCTGCCCCCTTGCCTTGTCCAGCCAGAAAACAGAGAGCTGTGGCATCTGCCCAGCACAGAGGCAGATAGGTGGATCCACTGACCCAAGGATAGAGCAGGGAAGACAGGACAGGAGAAATCCAAGAGGGCTTCTAAGGGGAGAAGGCATGTAGTTTGGCTTAGATGCAGAGGCTAGGTAGGGGCCTGAGCAGATGAGTCGGGGACTGGGCATTTGAAGCTAAGAGTCTTGCACTTCCCTACCCCTTTCTTTGGCACCCTCATACTTGAGCATTAATTAGCAACTTGTGCTAACCACTGAGCTAAGCTGACCTCCAAATAATTAGAAAGCTTAAGTAAACCAGCATCCATAGATGACAAAGGTGACTGAGGACCTACTGTTACAAAGGCAAGGTAATTTGAGGCTGCAATGAGCTATGAGCAACTGTGTTCCAGCCTGGGAGACAGAATGAGACCCCATCTGTAAAAAAAAAGAAAAAAAAAAAGAAATATACATCAATCTCAATTTTTTTTTAAAAAAGGCAGATGGCTTTACAGTTGTTTTATCAAAACTCAAAGTAACAGGAAAGCCCAAATTATTTCAACAAAGTCAGACATTTTAAATAGATGATAGCTGCCCAAGTCATTTTTATGAAACTTCTTTATGTCAAAACCTAAGTCTAAAAAGAGGAAAGTGTTGACCTTCATACAGGCTATGTTAGGCAGAGATTTCAAGGAAGTCTTCTCTGAAGAGGTGACATTTGAGCTGAGACCCGAAGCACCAGAAAGAGGCAGCCAAGCCAGGAAGAGGCAGGAATGGGAGGGTCTAGGGCAAGACTGGTCCTGGGAGGGGGAACTACAGCGGCAAAGGCTTGGCATTTGGAAGCACAAAGAGTCTGTGTGACTGGACAGCATGAGAGGAGGAGATGGTGATAGGGTGTGCACTGCTCAGGCCACCTAGGTCCTGGAGCCTACAGTGAGAAGCATGGGCTTGACTCTGAGGGCAAAGGAGAGCCATGGAGAGTTTGGGTAAAGGGGAAAGTTGGCATTTAATTTTATAGCTTTTTGAAGTTTGTTTTGTTTTGTTTTCTTAGAAACCGGGTCTCAGTCTGTTACCCAGACCAGAGTGCAGCTCAAAATATTTTCCAATTTATCTTGTGATTTTTTTTTTTGATCCAATGATTTAGAGGTGGGTTGTTAAATTTTCACATATTTTCAGATGTCCAATATGTCTTACTGTTAGTTTCTAATTGTTTCAGTCAGATAACTTATTTGTTATCTCTCTCTCTCCTGTCTTCTGATCCTGTTTTTCCATTGACTATCATTTTTTAAATAAACTTATTTCAATGTGGCATTTACAATCCTATTTTAATTTTTTGCTCTATCTCTGATGTAGTCGTTCCAGGGATTATAATGTGCTTTTCAATTTTTCCAACGAATGAAGAACGAAGTGATCGACTTCTTGCCCCAGCTGGGGCTCTGGAGCGCTGCTCCGAGGCGGTGGATGGAGGGTGCCAGGCACGACATCAAGAGTTCTGCAGCCAGGGCCTGGGACAACCTCCCGCTCCACCTCCCCGGAGCCTCGCAGCCAGCGCCCCAGTGGCCCGTGCGCCCCGGCCAGGCTGGACCTCAGCGCTGTGGCGGCCGCAGACCTCACCTGAGCAGGCCCGGGGCTGTATGCGGACCGCCAGGCGCCCAGAACCCTAGAGGCAACCGGCGGGCTGGATCCGCACTGCGACCCTGAGGAATGGATGATGTGCAGGCGACGAAGCTACACACGTCTTTCATTCTGGAGGGGGAAAAAAAAAGAAAAAATGGAAATGGAAGTTTGAAAATATGTGGGCTCTCCGTCCTTTCCTTTGTTCCTGCGCGCCCTCTGGGGTGGGAGGCTCAGCGAGCTTCAAGAGGTGGTCGGGATTCCCCCACCTGCCCCCAGATCCCCGGGAGAGGTCAGCACGGCCCCTTCCGTGGGTGTCACAGAGACGGATGCGGGTCCCTCTCCCTGGGAATGGGTAGGTCTGGGTCCAGTCCGCAGGACCCCCTCGCGAGTGCTGACGCAGAATGGAGTTGAGGTCGGGGCAGCGCTGGACCCCAGGGCCCCTGCCTGCCTCCTGGGGAGCTCGGTGACCCAGGCAGCCCTGGTGAGGCCGCAGGTGTCTGGGACCTAGCGAGGCCCCAGGGCTCCCACAGGACGAACGCCGACAGTGAGGCCAAGGAGGCCCTGCTGCCCTCAGGACTGTCCCTCCAACCCCCAGCTTTCCGTGGTTCTTGGGCCCCCTCTGCAGAGGGGCAGGGGAGACCACCCTGGATCCCGAGGCGCCGAGCTTGAGGGACCCCAGAGCTCCAGCCAGGCCGCTTCCTTTGCGGATGGTGAAGCTGAGGTCCAGAGGAGGGCAGGGGCAGGTCCCGGGCGCTCCCCAGGCAAAAGGAGCCGATCTAGGGGCTGGGGTCACAGGAATGGCTCCTGCGACCTCTAGGGCCCTAGACCCCGGGAGGATGAGAGACTGGGGGCCTTTCGTCCACCCCTGGGGCTGGGCAGAGGTTCAGCCTGTGTAAACCGAAGCAGCTTCTGGCCAGTCCCAGCCGCGGCCCCTTTAAGAGGGGGCGGGGCTTCAGCCTGGCACGAGGGACGCTGCCAGCGTGCAGGCCCCTACGGAAGCCGAGACTGCGCTTCGTGCGAGGCCCGGGCACCAGCGGCGGCGTGGTCAGAGCGAGCCTCGCAGAAGCTGCGGTGGTTTCCGTGTGTTGGTGGAGGAACAGGCAGGTGTTGGTGGAGGAACAGGCAGATCTCGGCGGTAAGTGACGGGGGATGAACCCCACTGGGAACCCTCTGGGTCTCCCTGCTCCTTCCCGGCCGCTCCCTGCTTTCGGGCCCTGACTTCTTCGTGGGCATCTGGGCCCGAGTCGTCAGCGCGGGGGCGGTTGTGGGATCCTGGCCGCTGCAGCGTCCGCACCCCGGCCGGGAAGGCTGTGCCCCTGTGCGACCCGCGACCGGCCTATGGGAACGCCCTGGCCCAGAGCCGGCGGTGAAGCGCTGGACCCGGGTCCCTCCGAGCCCCACGGGCCTCTGAGCTGGAGTCTAGGGTTATTTTTGATGCCTCAGGGTCTTTAGAAAGAGACCTCGCTAGAGCGGGGAACAGCTGTAGTTTCAATTCTTGGAGGAGTCTCCAGCTATTTAGCTGTTTCCCATGGTGTGTACCCTAATTTTCATTTCCACATACAGTGTATGAATTCCCCTTTCTCCAAAACCACACCCCCATTCCAATTTTTTGGGGTTTTGTTTTTGTTTTTTTGAGACAGAGTCTCGCCCTGTCTCCCAGGCTGGAGTGCAGTGGCGCCATCTCGGCTCACTGCAACCTCCGCCTCCGGTTTCAAACAATTCTCTTCTCAGCCTCCTGTGTAACTGGGACTACAGGCGCCCGCCACCACGCCCCGCTAATTTTTGTATTTTTATTTTTAGTAGAGACGGGGTTTCACGATATTTGTCAGGCTGGTCTGAAACTCCTCACCTAAGGTGATCCGCCGGCCTCGGCCTCCCAAAGTGCTGGGATTATAGGCGTGAGCCACCACTTCCAGTCCCTCCTATTTTTAAAATTTTTTCTAGGAATATTCAATAAGCGTGAGATTATATGCATGTGGTTTTGAATTACAGTATTCTAATGAATAGTTAATTTTGAGGACCTTATCTCTTATCTGTTGTTCGATTTTATATCTGTGCAGAATTGTCTGTTCAGGTTCTTTGTGAAATATTAGATTGGATTTTTTTTCTACTTTGTAGTGTTTTTTGTGTACACGTTAGTTGACAACAACTCGTGAATTACATGATTGCCTGAAATTTTTGCCAAATCTATAGGATGCTTTTTTATTTGGAAAGTAGTTTTCGTTGCTATGCAGAAACTTTTCAGATTGATGTAGTCCCATATGGTTTTTGTTTTTGTTTTTGTTTTTTTTTGCGTTTCATGCATGTAATCGTGGTCACCCATATTAGAAAACATGTGTCGGTAACAAAGCATTTAATTGTCAATGAGGTTTTTCTTCCAGGGTGTTTGTTTCTTTTCCTCTTTGCAAAGGTTAGCAGAGATTCAGGTGACCCAAAATATATGCTCAACCTGTGTTTTAGTTAAAAACATTTTGTGGTTTATGGTATTTTGTTTTGGCCTTCGGTTTGTGGGTGAGGAGGTTGATTTTCATACATCGTGTAAAATAAGGGTCCTATTTCTCGCCTCTGAATCCAGATACAATTTTTCTTAAAGGTATTCATTGAGCAGACTCTGCTTTCCACGTTGTAGTGTTCTTTATCAAAGTCAGTTGACTGTGTCCATATTTGTGCTGATTATGTTTTTGTCCTCCCTGTTTTGTCCATATTTCTAGGTATTTGTTTTTATGCAAGTAGTGTATATCGGCTGCATAATTACAAGTTGGCAGTTTAATTTGGTATCGAGGATTGTGGGTTCTCACTTTGATTGTATTTCTCAGGATTCCTTTAGATATTCATTGTTTTTGTGGTTCCCTGTGATTTTTAGCACTATGTATTTATTTCTGTTAATTTTTTTACAATGTAAAGGTCCATAAATAGGGCACATTTGTATACATATAGAGTGTTTGTGGTGAAAAAACATTGGGAATCTTGCATTTACAAGAGTCGCCATTATCACAAACAGTTGTTAATTGCTTTGTGGTGAAAACATTTGGAATCTTTTTTTCCAGATTTTGTGAAAAAGGTATGATCTTGTGTTAACCTCTAGTCACTGTGCTGTGGAACAGAGGAACAATTCATTCCTCTCACCTAAGTGTAATTTTGTACCTATTTCTGATCTCTGTCCGTGCCCCCTCTTCCCTCCAACCTCTGGTAACCACTATTGTGCTCTCTAGATCCATGCAATAAAGCGTTTTATCTTGGATTCTACATGAGTGAGCTGTGGCAGTGTTTTTCTTTCTCTGCCTGGTTTAGGTCATTTACCATGATGTCCTCCAGGTTCAACAGTATGGCTCCAAATGATGAAATTTCATTCTCTTTTTCTGGCTGAATACTATTCTATTTGTAGACATCCACCAGTTACTTTATCCCTTCATGTGTGGATGGGCAGGTAAGTTTATTCTTTATCTTGGCAGTTGTAAATAGTGCTGCAGTTCGCATAGGATGGCAGATATCTCTTGCAAGGACTGATTTCTTTTGCACCGAAGGTATACTTAGTAGTAAAATTGTTAGATGAAGTGGTAGTTGTAGGTTTAATTTTTGGAGGAATCTCCCACTGGTTTTTGTAGTATGTATACTAATTAACATTCTTACCAAACGAGTTCCTCTCTGGAAATTTACACCAGAATTTGTGTCTCTTGATATGTTTTATCACTTTGATAACATCCATTTGAATTATAGTGAGATGATATGTGTGTTGTTTTGATTTACATCTTTCTCATGATTTGTGATGTTATCCAGGGTTTTAAAACTTGTTTTCAATGTTATGTCTTCTTTGCAGAAATGTATGTTCAGGTTCTTTTGCCGCATTTTGTTTGGTTATGAGTTTCTCTTTTGTGTTTTTGCTAGTAAGTAGTGTTAGTTGCTTAGACATTTTGAAGACAACCTTTTATCGGATGTATGTTTGCCGAAACCTTTCTTGTAAACTGCAGGATTTTTTTTTTTTTCTCATGGATTTTTTTTTTTTTTATCTGCTTGGGCACAAACTCTAGAGGGTGATGCAGTCCCACATGTGTCTGTTTTCTTGATTCCCTGTGATGTAGGTGACTGATGAAGAAAAAATCATGGCCAAATTAATCCATCACCCATGAGTTTTCCGCTGTGTTTTTGTTTTGTTTTGGCACACTGTAAGCACAGATCCCTGCTGACCTAAATATCCCCACACCGTATGTCTTCTCATGGGAGGAGCTTGATTCTTTCAAGTTTTGTTTATGAGTCTCTAATTCATTTTGAGTTGATTGTTATGCCTTTTACACAATAGGGGTCCTATTTTATTATTTTACACAGGGATATCCAATTTTCAAAACAATTTATTAAACCGATTCCCCTTCTTTTTCATGTCTTTTGGTGTTCTTTTACAAAATGTGTACACTACCTAGGAATTTGGGTTTGTGATTGAGCTCCCTCATTCTATCAGTTGGTCTGGATTTCTCGGTTAATGCCAGTCATCTATTTAGATAACTAGCTTTTCAATGTTATTTCAAATGGAGGACAGTGATGCATCCCACGTACTTTGTATTTCCAGGATTGCTTTCGAAATTCAGGGCGTTTCATGGTTCCATGTGAATTTTAGCATCGTTGGCATCGTTTAAAACAAAAAACGAAAAGAAATTGCCCTAGAGTATATGTATATAACTAGAGGATGCAGGGGCCATTTTGATATAGGTACACCTAGCACATTGATTAAATCACAATATTTAGCATCTATGAAGTCCTCTAGGTATTATTTGTCTGTGGAGAAGATATTCAGAATCCTTTCCAGCTATTTGGAAAATTCACTACAATATTAACCCTAGTCACCCTGCTATAGAAGAGAAGGGCAGGATTGATCTCAGTTTTCTAAGTGTAACTTTGTACCCATTACCAATCTCTGCCCAGGTCCCTTCTTTTCCTCAGCCTCTGGTAACCACTGTCGAACTTTCTACTTCTATGAGGTGAAGTGTTTTAGATCCCACATGCATGAGATTATGCAGTATATGCCTTTCTCTGCCTGGCTCATTTCCTTTAACATAATGTCCCCCAGGTTTTTCCACATGGCTGCAAATGACTAGATTTCACCCATTTCTATGGTTGAAGAATATTCCATTCTGGATGTATATTGCAGTTTCCTCATCCCTTCATCAATGGATGAACAGGTAGGTGTATTTCCTGTCTTAGCTATTGTGAGTACCACAGTACCCAGGGCAAGGCAGGTATCTCTTCCACACAGGAATTTCATTGGCTGTAAATGTATAGCCAATGGCAGGATGGCTAGATGAAATGGCGTTTTTACTTTGAGGAACTTCTGGCTGTTTTTCCTAATGTGTATACAAATTGACATTCCTACCAATCGTGTATTAGAAGAGTTTCCCCTTCTGCAAATCTATACCGGTTGTTTCCTTTTCAAACTTTTATTTTTGTTTTAGGTAACATTCATTCTATGAGGGTGGAAGTGGTATCTCAGTGTGGTTTTCCTTGACATTCTCATGAGGATTAGAGCTTTTGAGAAACTTTTCTTTTACCTGTGAGTCAGTTTCACGTCTACTTTTCGGACATGTCTATTCAGGTCCTTGGTCCAAACTTAGCTTGGGTGTTTGTTTTTGCTTCTGTTTTTATTTTCCCCCCACATGGTAGTGTTAGTTTCTTGCACGTATTTTATAATGACCCCTTTCAAAGACAGGATTTTCCATAGTTTTCTTTCAGTCTGTGAGATGCCTTCTCTTCTGGTTCATTGTTTTCTTTTCCCTACATAAGATCCAATGTTTTCCATAGTACCACATGTTTATATGCTAGTGGTGACTTTTGTGTGCAACTGAAAACAGTGAATAGGCCACACGCGGTGGCTCACGCCTATAATGCCAGCACTTTGGTAGGCTGAGGCAGGTGGATCACCTGAGGTTGGGAGTTCAAGACCAGCCTGACCAACATGAAGAAACCCTATCTCTACTAAAAATACAAAAAATTAGCCAGGCATGGTGGCGCATCCGTGTAATCCCAGCTACTCGAGAGGCTGAGGCAGGAGACTTACTCGAAACTGGGAAAAAAAAAAAAAAGAAACTGGGAGGCGGAGGTTGCAGTGAGCCAAGATCGCACCATTGCACTCCATCTTGGGCAACAGGAGTGAAACTCCATCTCAAAAATAAAAAAAAGTGAGAAAGATTGTCACACCCTGGCATTGTCTATGAGTTTTTTTTTTTTTCTATTTTTCTTCTTTTCTTTTTATTTTTATATTTTACATTTTACAACGCGTGTGCATAGATTAGTCTTCTAAAATATACTCTCACCCTATGTTTCCTAAGAGAAGTAAGTGGTTTCCAGATTGAGTTTAGGTCTTCAATGTAATTTACATTGATTTTTGTCCTATTTCACTGTTTCATGTGGTTATCCAGTTTGCTTAAAATTGTTTATCGAAGAGGCTTTCCTTTTCCCATTGTGTCTTTTTGTGTTCTTTTGAAAAATGTGTTCACTGTATATACATTTGGGTGGCATATGGGACTCCCTCATTCTGTCCATTGGGAAGCCTTTCTATTTTTATGCCAGTAGCAGATTGTTTGGATAAATACAGGTTTTAGTTGTTTCATCTTTTTGCCCACTTAGTAGCTTTAGTTTCTTGTGTATGTTAGATAACAGTTCCTTTCAGATACATGATTTTCCATAATTTTATCCCAATATGTAGGATGCCTTTTCTTTGGGTTTATTGTTTTCTCCTTGTTTAGAAATTTTAAAGTTGTCCTTTGTCAAACATGTTTACATTTGCTTTTGTTAGCAGTGATTTCTGTGTCCCATTGGGAAATACAAAAAAGAGGTGGTGAAGCCATTGTATTGTTAATGGGTATATTCTCCCTAATTTTCTCTTTTTGCAATTTGTGTTCACAGATTCAGGTTTCCCCAAAGTAGACACTCACCCTATGTTTTTTCCTGAGAGCTTTTTTGGTTTCAGGATTAGACTTAGGTGTTCAGTTTATTTTGTGTTGATGTTTGTGTCTTGTGCAACGTAAGGGTCTTACTTCAGTCCTTTGCACGTGACTATCCAGGCTTCTCAATCTGAGTGTCTTTGGTGTGTTTCTGAAATACGTGTTTACTCTACATAATTTTGGTCTGATTATCTGGCTCCCTCATTTGGTCCATTTGGTTATATTTCTGTGTTGATGCCACTAATGGATGGAGAGGGTCAGTGTAAGTTTTATTTTGTTTTCTTGTGTGTGTGTGGTTTTGTTTTGTTTTTGTTTTTGCTTTCAGCCTTGATTTTCTAAAAGAATACCTACTTTTACTGTGATTAACAATATTATGAACACAGTACCAGTTGGGTGGTCCATCATTTAGAATATCTCAGTAGGGGTAAATGTTAATGAAATAATAGAAATAACAAAGAATTTATCAACAGAGAGCTCTCATACACAAATAAGTTCCAGTATAAAGGAGTTTAGTAGGCCGGGTGTGGTAGCTCACGCCTGTAGTCCCAGCACTTTGGGAGGCCGAGGTGGGCAGATCACATGAGGTCAGGAGTTTGAGACCAGCTTGGTCAACATGGTGAAACCCCATCTCTACTAAAAATACAAAAATTAGCCGGGCATGGTGGCATGCACCTGTAATCCCAGCTACTCTGGAGACTGAGGCAACAGAATAGCTTCAACCTGGGAGGCAGAGGTTGCAGTGAGCTGAGATCGTGTCATTGCACTTCAGCCTGGGGGACAGAGAGAGACTCCATCTCAAAAAAAAAAAAAAAAAAGGTTCAGTAAACAATAAACAAATGTCACTTAACCTGTATAAGAGTTATAAAGCAGTTAAACATTCCCCCCAAAATGTTGGAAGGATATGTAAGGGTGATAAATAAGACCATTAACTGGATTGAGACACACAGAATACTACAGACAAATAGGACATATGGATATAAAAGTAAAAGTTATAAATATGAGAAGCCTTTGTATCAACATATTAGGGTATTATAGCATGACTAGACATCCTTCATGGCAGGAGGACAGTGAGATTCAACATTAGGAAATCCACTAATACTATTAACTGCATTCATAGAGTTAATGAGAATGCCATGTGTTCATGATCATAGATGTAAAAAGACACTGTCAGGATTCTACAGCATAGTATATTTTAAAAATTTAACCAAATCAGAATTGCTGTAAAAACGTATAAAATGGGAAATGGGTTTGGACAAATAAAAAATAATGAAACCACAATTTTACAAAAGTATATTTAACAGTATGAAGAGGTCAGTGATTCTTTAATCAATTCATGAATTGAGCTTGACTCCAATATAGCTACTATCTGTGCTCTGGGGATAAGAAAGTTTATTGCAAAGAAGAATCAACAAAAATACCCATAAAAGTCTGAATATAAAAAATAAACTTTCATGTATTGTAAATACTTGGAAATTGAAAGTGTGATGTTGATTCATAACTACACTGAGAGAACAATGAAGTACAGAATTCAAAAAATAGAATGAAACATATGTAGAAATGTGCTGTACAATAAAAGCAGCATTGTAACAGAGGAGATGTAGGCTCTGAGTGTCTCACTGGAGACTGAAACCCACAGATATGCAGCAAAGCCTTTGTCTCCCTAATGTTTTTGCCTCCTGCTGGTCGTGTGCTTTCACACATCAAGAGCTCTGGCTCAAATGTTAAATTTGCTGTTGTCTGATGGGTGAGATTTTTGCTGACATAGTCCATATTGTGATACGGTCTTAGGGCCCACAGGATTATTCCTGGTCATCTAAGATGTTCCTGACAACTTATCATCTTAAGATGTTACTGACTTTATCACCTTCAACTGGCCCCTGTTTATTCTTTGAAATACCAGACACACACATTGTTTCAGTAATTCTTTCAGTTGGTGATTTGCCTGGTGCAGAACTATGTGAGATCACCTCCCCTCAAATGACCCACAGGTGGTAAGAATCTGTGAACAAACGGTTCACAGGAGGACCAATCACGTGTGGACATGGAGTGGGTAATTTCAAGGTGAGGTAGTCAACCTGTACCCTAAATTGGCACAGACAGGAGAAGCCACAATCCTTTAGCAAGAAAAATTACAAAGTATAAATATCCCTTGTTAAGAGAAACGGAGACCATCTTCAGAGGATGTAATGGTATTAAAATGTGTTCTCATTGTTCAGCTCCCACTTATGAGTGAGAACATGCAGTGTTTGATTTTCTGTTCCTGTGTTAGTTTGCTGAGGATGATGGCTTCTAGCTTCATTCATGTACCTGCAGAGGACTTGATCTTATACCTTTTTATGGCTGCATGGTATTCCATGGTGTGTATGTAGCACATTTTCTTTTTCTGGTCTATCATTGATGGGCATATGGATTGGTTCCATGTCTTTCCTATTGTGAATAGTGCTGCAGTAAACACGTGGAGCAGATGATTGCTCAAAGCAAGATGAGCTGCAAGCATGATGGAGCTTAGAGCAGATAGAGCTCCAGGCGAGATGGCACTCCAAGCAATATGAAACTTGGAGCAGATGTTACTGAAAGATGGAGCTGCAAGCATATAGTCTCAGAGCAAGATGGAGCTCAGAGCAAAATGGAGCTCAGAGCAGATGGTGCTCAGAGCAGTATGGAGCTCAAAGTGATTGGAGCTCCGAGCAAGGAGGAGCTCACAGCAGATGGTGCTTAGAGCAAGATGGAGCTTGGAGGGATTGGAGCTCCAGCAAGATGGAGCTCTGAACAGATGGAGCTCAGAGCAAGATGGAGCATGGAGTGTTTGGAGCTCAGAGCAGACAGAGCTCAGACAAGAAGGAGCTCCAAGCTAGATGGAGCTTGGAACCGATGTTCCTCTGTGTAAGATGGAGCTCAGAGCAAAATAAAGCTTGGAGTCATTGGAACCCCAAACAGTGCTCTGAGCAATTGGCACTCTGAGCAAGATGGAGCTCTGAAGAAGATGGTGCTCAGAGCAGATGTAACTCTGAGCAATAAGGAGCTCTAAGCAAGATGGAGCTTGGTGCAGATGTTGCTCAGTTTTAGATAGAGCTCAGAGCAGTTGGTGCTTACAGCAGGATGGAGCTCAGAGTGATTAGAGCTCTGAGCAAAATGGACCTTGGAGCAGATGGAGCTTTGAGCAACATGGAACTCAGAGCAGATGTTGCTCAGAGTAAGATGGAGTTCTAAGTAGATGGTGCTTAAAGTAAGATGGAGCTCAG